GCTATATCTATTATATTGGTCATTTCACGTGTTGCACGTGCACGCTCTTGCAAGCACGTGCGCGCAAAATGACCTTGATTCCGCAAATCTACATAACATGTCTACTAACCCTAAAAAGGTTTTACCTACATCGGACGAACAGTTTACAAGATCATTCCCGGACAAAAAAGTTCCAGGAAGAAAAAGAAGAAGAAGAAGAAGAAGACTAGATGTGAAACTCGTTGCGAGCAACGAGTGGTCTTCCGTCCGATTCCGGAGAGAAAAAGTAAAATCGAGCTGAAAAAGTAAAAAAAAAAAAAAAAAGATTTGCACACAAGGGGGGTTGGACCCAAGTCGCCAGCATGAAATTCCAACGCACTAAATATAATGTTCTTATAGCCTAAGATTCGAGGTTTAGAAAGTACATTTAACACATTTTACAAATTCCATATTGTATATATGCATGTAACACTAAAGCGGTGAAACAGTTATGATTTTTTTTCAATTTCCTGTTTATCCCCAAAGTGAACTATCCCGATTAGTTAATCGAAAAAGTTTGAAACGTTTCGCCGAAAAACATGGCTCGCTCTACGACGGTCAAGGAATCAGATATCATTTATGCTTAATAACTTGAATCACGTCTTTGAGACAAGAATGCTCAAATAAACTCCATGAAGCGATCTTTAAAAAAATCGTTTTCTTATTTCTGTTTTATTTATTAGTTTAATATGACACAAGTGTGCATGGGAAAAACCGAGTGGTTAAGATATATACTGACAATATTACTTGATATTCCTTTTTGCGAAAGTATTACTTATAAGTATGATTTAAGATCTGTTTTTCCGTAATGCACAAAAAATATTAGGTATCGAATTTCATTTGCACATTTAGTCTTTTCTTTCTCTACTTTGAAAACCAGCCAAAACCAATTATAGAAGACGTTAGTTTGACACAGAACTGCAACGTAACTACGACGTGACAATCCAAGTATTCCTTTACATTTCATTTATTCTTATGTTACTTTCAAGCAAACGCTCGGCTGACTCCATAAACCCCTATTGCGAAATGTCGGCGTTGACTGAGACAGCCGCCATTTTGGACCCGCTTCAGATTTTTGAATGCTAATATCTAGAGTTTAGATTTATCAACACTCAAACAAATTATATAGTAACCATTAAAAGGAGGGTTTCTATTAACATACCAAAAATAAATGAAAAATACTGAAAGATAAAAAAGTTAGAAAATACGTTTTTTTTTAATTTGCATCTCGTAAGAACCGGAAGTACTGACGACGCACGAAAAGGTGATTCTGCAAACCAGAAAGTCATGATCTATCATCTCCAATAAGTCTCCAGTTCATATACTTAGCCATTTTCAATAAAAAGGGGCGACAAAATCGCATTTTAAAATCAGGAAATTGTCCATAACTTGGCACCAGAAGCGAATTTTCCAAATTTCTCTTCGAATGTAACAACTTCATATAATGACACATATTTTGTGAAAGTTTCATGAAAAACCGCTGAATAGTTTTCGAGAAATCGCCTGCACAAAATTTTGTCAAAAAAAAGAATAATAATAATAAGAATAATAAGAAACAGTAGAATCACTATAAGGTCTTCCGTGAAGACGGAAGACCTTAAAAAATAATAATAACTAGATGCGATCTCGTTGCAAGCAACGAGTAGGTCTTCCGTCCGATATCTGATGGAATAAGACCTGTGTTGGGATAATTCCACTGATAGGATAAAAAATGTCAAAAAGGCACAAGAATTCTTCAAAATATGTTTAGAAATACAAAAAAATGTACGATCTATCAATTCCAATCAACTTCCGGTTCTACTTCTTCACTTCCGGTGCGACCGTATGTGCTCAAAACTACTTTCAACTCTACATCAAGCAAGCAGTAATGATCCCTGAAAGTTTCGATGGAAAATACTCATATTTAGACAACTTCCGGTTTGAACAAAACGTACTTCCGGTGGAAATATTAAGATGCTACGCATTCTTTAAATCTCTATTATGAACAATTACATTCATTAGAAAATGAAATAAATCGCTATACATGTACATGTATTTAAATTACATGTACTTCCGGTTTACAACGGAAGTGTCCACGGACAAAATGAACAAAATGAAAGTATGCATATTGTTGGGAACATTATTTTGACCTTCTTTTGTTTAATACTGCTTATCAAAATATTCACGCTTTTCGAGATATAAAACGTCAAAGATTTAGCATTCTAGCCCCCTGTGACCCTTTATTACGTAACATATGATCAAAGTTTTAGCATATATTGTTGCAAATAGTTAAGTTGAATATCTTTGCTTCAGTAATGTATCACAAAATATTGATCATTAAAGAGTTAAAGACGAGAGACTTTTGGCCCCTCTATGCCCCTAATTTGAAGGGCTAACCCCATTTTTTTCATATCAAATGAAAGGTCTTACTTTATTGCACATTTTTTATTATATATGTCTTAACAAAATATTAACCAGTAAAAAGATATAATAGAAAACGTATCAATTTTTGCGAGATGCGTATGAGCCTATTTTTCGGGCCCAGGCGAGCGTCGATGCCTTTTTACCTGGAAAGCTCTATATGCAAAATGTCACATCTACTATCCTTCCTCTACCTTCACTGAAAATCTCAAGTCGATATCTTCAGTCGTTTAGGAGGAGATCTCAGGACAAGCCGACCCTCTAAAAATCAGAAAATCGTCCATATCTCACGACCGGAAGTGACGTCATCAACGACAAAAATTTCCGACAAGGTTCAGATAAATATCTATCAGATCTGAAAGTTTGGTAAAAATCGGGCGAGCCGTTTCCGAGAAATCGCGTGCACAAAATCGGTAAGAAAAATAATAATAGGGAAAAAGAAACCGAACGAAAACAATAAGGTCTTCCGTTGGAAACGGAAGACCTTAATAAGAAACAGAGTAAAAACAATATGTTCCCCAACTTCGTTTGGGGAACATAATTATCAATTTTGCAAAATTTTACAATAAAGTTTTTGGTCTTAGTCGTAAGTTCTTTTGTAAAACGGGCCCCAGAATAAAATCAAACTAGAACTGTCCAAACGGGACAAAATACCCCCCGCTGGGTATTTCAGAAGTAAGTTTTTCCATAATAAAGATATGTATTAGACATGAATTATGAAATTTTTCTTCCAGCAGTGATTTTTCTACATTTTTTAAAAGGGGCCTGGGCCTTTAGAATTGGGAAAAATTGTCGACATTTGTATCAAATTGGGAAAAATGTTTAAAATTGTCATGTAACCTAAATTGGCAGGTAAAATAAACTATGTAAGTAAATGTAACATCATTAATCAATTTATTTGCTACAAAATAATAAATTAAACACAGTTCTATATTTTTAACCTTTTTTTTTAAATCTTTGAAAGTGTTATTGTGACTATATCAGTATACATGTACTTCCATTTTTGCTCTGACATTATGGTAGACATAAAGAGAAAATCCTTCTTGTAATAGTCATGGTTTAAGATAGAATAATCTGACATGATTTATTACAAATCATTTATTTTTCAAAGTAATTATTAAAGCTTTCTAATTACCCTAGCTAAACATAATGCTGCAATTTTTCTCTGCAATACTAGTTGCAAATGCCGGATGTAGAAACAGTTTGATTTTCGTGGAATCAGGAATGCTTTTTGTAGAACTATTAGTGCTTGGATTTACAAATAAAGCTATGTTTTGCCGGTTAACATGCATCTTACACTTTACACACAAGTTTGACAAGGAGGAGACCCATGTGTTTTTCTAGGTCTTATAAACGCTCAGAGTAATCTGCTGTTCCTTACTGTTATTTTAAGAGTCTTAGTGACTGAGAACAATAGCGTTCCATTTTAGATAAGTCGTACGTAAAAAATTCAATATAACAAAAACAACGATTTTGTGTTGGGAAAAAAAGCAACAGAAATTGGGAAAAAATCGGTAATTTTTGAGAGGGGAAAGGGCCGATATTCGGACCTGAATTAGGTGTAGAAAAATCACTGTCCAGTGACCTTGAAGTTCCCCAAATGACCTTGAGTCAAGGTCATGACACATCCTTGGGTCATGGGCAATCTTTGTGTGAAATGAGAACATACCAAGTTTATCCATAAGATAGATATGGACCAAACACGAATTATGAAATTTTTCTTCCAGTGACCTTAAACTTCCCCAAATGACCTTGGTCAAGGTCATGACAAACCCTTGGGTCATAGGCAATCTTTGTGTGGAATGAGAACCTACCAAGTTTATCCATAAGAAAGATATGGACCGGACACAAATTATTAATTTTACTTCCAGTGACCTTAAACTTCCCCAAGTGACTTTGGTTCAAGGTCATGACACACCCTAAAGTCATGGGCAATCTTTGTGTGAAAAGAGAACCTACCAAACTTATCCATAAGAAAGATAACGACCAGATACAAATTATGAAATTTTTCTTCCAGTGACCTTGAACTTCCCCAAATGACCTTGGGTCAAGATCATGACACACCCTTGGGTCAAGGGCAATCTTTGCATGAAATGAGAACCTACCAAGTTTATCCATAAGAAAGATCTAGACCGGACACGAATTATGAAATTTTTCTTCCAGTGACCTTGAACTTCCCCAAATGACCTTGGTCAAGGTCATGACACACCCTTGGGTCATGGGCAATCTTTGCATGAAATGAGAACCTACCAAGTTTATCCATAAGAAAGATCTAGACCGGACACGAATTATGAAATTTTTCTTCCAGTGACCTTGAACTTCCCCAAATGACCTTGGGTCAAGGTCATGACACACCCTTAGGTCATGGGCAATCTTTGTGTGGAGTAGTAGATTCTAATGTCCCTCCGTAAGAAAGATATGGACTGGACACGTTTGCACAAACAGACGGACAGACAGACAGCTAGACAGACGGACGGACAGACAGCTAGACAGATGGACAGACGGACAAGGTGATTCCTATATACCCCCCCCCCAAACTTCGTTTGCGGGGGGTATAATAAAATAATTTATCTTAAGCTTACCTTTACGATGTCTATAGAACACTACAGCCACGGCACCAAAAACCACTAATAAAAGTGCAACTATTACAACAGGTATTATTATACCAACTGGAGATCCACCATCTTTGTTAGCATCTATTGAATATGGGAAAAACAACAACATTTATTAGAGTGTTCCAATGTATAAATGTTGCAAGCTTTATAGTTTTACTAAAGAATACAATGAATATAATATGTTGACGGTGCGACCATTGGGGCGAGCGCAGATCATACTTATCCAGTTTTCATTTAGATTGGGCTCGTCAAACCGCACATGACATTCGGTGTATCTAATACTCTCATGTCACATGACGTCGTATGCATGTTGCTTAACCAAACTGAAGCCTGCACAGGGCTGATTTTAAGGTAGACACGTTTTATTAACTATTTTTCTGCAACAAATTCATTAAATAAAGGCAAGTTTATTATTTGTTAAACGTTTGTTCTCATTCTTGCTAGAATGTTGCTTTAGCTTTTGTGTATGGAGTGAAGCATTTTTGGTCCAAATTACTGTGGAGTCAATATGATCCAGCTGTTCTTAACCAGCAGATTTCTATTATATATTTCTATCTGAAATGTTTGCCTCTTTTGTGACAATCAGCATTCTACAACAATCCTTTTACTTAAAGGTCATACAAAATGGTTCAAAATATATGTACTAGGATTTTACTTTAGAAACATAAAGACTGGTATGAAAGAATGTCAAAATATGTTTGGTAAAAATTTTCTGCCTTTGCTTAACAGAAAAATAAAGGCCTAAAACTTGTCCACTTGAAAATTTGTTACTCGCTTATCGTTCTTGATTTTGTGTTTTTATGACGTCACAAAGACCCATCAATGTAAACAACGTATTGGATCTAGTATAATTTTACCGTATTTTATTGAGTTAATTTTTTTGTCTTTTTTGTGGATATAAATGTGATTATGATTTTAGAAAAGCTATCTGATTCTAAAGTACAGGTTACTCTATTTAAACTGATCGTTAAATAGGCATGGCAATTAAAAACGAGAGGTTTTTCATCGTAGGATGAGGACTGATGAAAACCCCTTTGAAATCAAAATTTTTCTCCTCCAACTATGAAATTACTTATTTTGAATTAATACCTTAGAAACAAATATCTTTTTATATTTATTTGATACATATATATGATATAATGTTTTTTTAATCATTCCCAGTGAAATTATATAATTTACAACAATAATAAAACAAGAGGCCCTGGGGCCACATCGCTCACCTGAGTACAGAGGCTAGGAAAAAGCAAAATCAGTTGAGTATAAAAGCTTAAATGCATGAGTGGTCCCTTTTATCCCCCAATTGTGGCCCCATCCTACCATTATGGTCATGATTTGAACAAACTTGAATCTACAGTACCTGAGAATGATTCCACATGAGTTTCATCTTTCCTGGCCCAGTGGTTCTTGAGAAGAAGATTTTTTAAAAATGGCATTTATTTTTCACAAATTCATTATTATCTCCCCTTTAAAGAGGGCATGGCCCTTCATTTGAACAAACTTGAATCCCCTTCATTTAAGGATACTTTGTGGAAAGTTTGGTTGAAATTGGTGCAGTGGTTCTTGAGAAGAGGATGAAAATCTGAAAAGTTTACAACGACAACGACGAGGCTTGATCATGAAAATGCATTGCTGAGAACTACTTCACCCCCAATAAATCACGAAATAAAAGTTGCAAATAAAAATTGGTTTACAGTACACCTTGGTCTCTAACCCTTCAAGACTGAATTAACAGACATTGGTTCCAACAAATGAATTTTAAAGGTACATACCTTTACCAGGTACTTTGAACATCTGCTCCTCACAGGTACCTGCTGCATTACAGCATTCATAGCTCATGGATACACCTTTTGTACAGTGTCTTATCACTTGGTAACCACTCACTGTTTGGCCTGTTTCATTATTCTAAATGAGAGAGAAGATATTCATAAAGCTGATAAGTTCCCCATCAATTAATTTTGAAATATGTCATTGATAAATGTTTCAAACTAAAATTCTCTGATGAAATGTAGCTCAACCAGTGAACTTAAACAAAGGGTCAGAGAAGAGCAGCACTTAAGGTAATCTGATCCTCTGGTTCTGAAAATCCGACATTGAGTAATTGAAAATGCTCACAAAGATGTTTCTAAATTCTCAAAGTAAAATATATTTACCCACGGTGTTTCTTAAAACTTCCATCTTGAAAGTTAACCATATGATGTAGGGAAAATTATCAAATCTCAAATAAATTTTCAGGAAATGCGATTAGAACTACCTACTGCATATTATCTAATTGATAATTGATCAATAAAAACATTTGAGGAATAAAAACCATAGGTATCCAGGCTTTTAATAAAATTGCATGATTTTTAAACTTATTTGGTACTTTCGTTTCTCCTACTTACTTCCATTGTTTTATAATGCATATATATAGTGTATGAAGTGTTTCCTATCAAAGAAAACACAGTTAATCACTTCTGATTTCAAATTATGTTTATAAATATTGGTAACTAAGGCTAAAAGAAAAGAACTTTGATTTTTTTTTAACATGCAAGTTTTACTTACTTTTATGGGGTACAAATGTCAACTTTTAAAATACCATTTATAAAAATTTTAAAGAACATTGAATCATACTTAGAGGCATATGATGAAAATTGTTGCATGAAAAAAATTTCAGTTGCAAGCTATATTTTAAGACTTTTTGAAATAAATTATAAATCAAAAAGTTATCCTTCCTGGCTGATGATTGGATATCCTTAAATTAAAATTTTCAGTAAATAGAATTATGTATCTTAGTGTTAAGTCTACTTTTTTGCAAAGTTATAATAAAATCAAAAAAATGTATGAGGACTAGCATTTTGAATGTATTTCACATAAATTTCTATTTTTCAGTAACCTTGGCAATATCTACTTTCACTGCTGCAAAACTGTATAAATATATGTATATAAGTATATAATAAAGCTTGGTACCATTGTAAGCATCCCATTTTCTCCTGTGAAACAAGTTGAAGTAACACATTCGTCCTCTTCCATGGGTTTTGCAAAGCAAACATCTTAAATTTAAAGAAATACATTGAAAGCAGCATTAGAGCAAATAAATGTTTTTAACAAGAAGTCTGTGAGCCAATGCTCACTAGTAATACCCCCGCTCTGATGTGAATATAAACTATCATGTTACTATACACAAGTTCAATTATGGGCAGATGCACAGATAAGTTGACATCACAAGTAAACAAAAATTAATCCAATGATCTGGAATGCCTAAACAAAGAGGGTACTAAAATTTCAAGCATCTGCAATGAGTAGTTGCTGAGAAAACTGCGACGAAATTTTGTTTTGTATGAAACGGACAGATGCAGGGACAAACAGGAAGTTGATATTAGATTTAAACAAAAATAAATCCAATAATATGGCGTGCCTCAGAGAAGATTGTGTAAAAATTTAAAGCATCTGTGATGAGTAGTTGCTGAGAAAACTGCGACGAAAATTTGTTACACACAGACGTACACACAAGGGTATAACAGTATACCCCTCTCCTTCTGAGTGGGGGTATAATAAAATGTTATGAATTTGATTTTTAATTGAAAAGGCCTTTCTTAAACTTATAGAATTAAGAAATCTATAACTATAGATAGCATTCTTAGATCCAATATTATACACAAAAGTATTCAGGCCTATATATGCATAATATATATTTAAATTTTAAAATTCTTTGTCCAAGATAAAACTACAAATAGTGAAAATACTTTATTTCTACACAAATCTACTGATTCATCAATAGACTTGCTTAAAAAAAATTTTGTGGGCGGGACAAACAAAGTGGGGTTTGTAGCAAGTGAATTTGCAGAATCAAAAGCATATAAATGTAAAGAATAACTGTTAGATTTTTTTGTTTCATGGGATGATCAATCGATTGGGTTGTGTCAGGTAATTTTATGCATAAACATCTTCAAGGTACATGCAAATTATCATGCAAGCCAATCGATAAATCACATCATGAAATCACAAATTTTAAGACAGGTATTCCTTAAATATATACACTGCAATTGATGTTCTCCAAAAGCATTAACCTCGTAACCAGCAACATAACAAGACATCAGGTCATGAACCATCTTTTTCTCATGATGGGTTTCCAATTTTCATCTTTCAGATATTGCACAGCAGAGGATTCAGAAACAAGTTGAAAGGGGGTGGGTTAAACCAAAAAAAACATTACTGTAAGTACTAATTTTCAATGCCTTTTTTATGTCTACATGTACATGTACTTTTGCAAAAAATTGGGGGTAAATCCCCCCTCCCCCCTTTCTGATGCCTATGCACAGTAAGGAATTATATATGTACAATTTTCTGTCACATGCAAACTTTGAGTATGGGTTTTCAATGATTATCTGTTACAAATTATGATGGAGATATACTGTGGTTTCATCATTAGTCGTGGAGCAACAATTTTTCAAAAATTTCGTTGTTGAATCAATCCACAAAATCAAATGTTCATCAAAGTTTGGTACCTCCATTTAGTTAATCATGGCTAAATTCACGTTATGAAATTATAGTTCATGACATATTATCAAGTGTTATATTAAAATTTGTCATTTGATGAAGCATGAATTTCTAGTACTTCTCTATACTATAAGAAAGTTCGGTACCAGACAAAAAGCATTCACTTTTTTATGCTACTGACCTTGAACTTGCGAAAATAACCTTAATGTATAGTTATGACACAGCTCAGATCAAAAGCACTCTTTGTGTCCAGAATTAGCTTTCAATGAAAGAAAAAGTGAGCAAGCTCACATACCCAATGCTTCCCCAAAACTCGAAGTGCTGAAATTCCCAGAAGAAATAAAGCAATCTGAATTTCCTGGTAATATGCACATCTACACATTGTGCCTTAAATATCTGCAAAAAAAGACCAAATGCTGTGCAGTGGTTTATAAGGGGTTGTGCTGACAAACTGTTCATCTCTATATTCAAGATATGGCCAAAAATCTAACTAAGTTGAAAAGTGTAAAAATTTCCAGAAAAAAATAAAGGAATCTAAATTTCCTGTAATATGCACATCTAAACACTGTGTCTTAAATATGAGCAAAGTTTGACCAAATTCCATGCAGCGGTTTATGAGGAGTTGCGCTGACAAACTGTTCATTTCTATATTCAAGGTATGGCCAAAAATCTGAGTTGAAAAGTGTTGAAATTCCCGGAAAAAATAAAGGAATCTGAATTTCCTGGTAATATGCACATCTACACAGTGTGTCCAAAATATCAACAAAGTCTGACCAAATTTTATGCAGCGGTTTATGAGGAGTTGCGTTGACAATCTGTTCATTTCTATATTCAAGATATGGCCAAAAATCTAATTAAAAAGTGCAGAAATTCCCAGAAAAAATAAAGGAATCTGAGAATTTCCTGGTTATATGCACATCTACACAGTGTCCTAAATATCTGCAAAGTTTGAGGAAATTCTGTGCTGCGGTTTATGAGGAGTTGCACTGACAAAAAAAACAGGACTGATGGACTGACTTATGGAAGAGTCAAAAACATTACCGTAAATCTGGAAATTTTTACGTCGAATCTGGGTCAAAATGCTGTTAATTTTTACGCTTCAAAATTTTTTGAATGACCACTACTTTGTTTACATTTTCTTATTGTTGAATTATTTTCAAGAAAAATATTTTTGCGAATGCACTAAACTCGCAAATTTGCTAAAAATTTATCTACAGCAAAAATTTCCAGATTTACGGTATACCTCACGTAACTTGTTGCATGGGGTATAATAATTATCCATATACATGTACATGTATATGAAAATGGTCGGACCCAAATGCATAGACAGACAGATGAAGGTGTGTAGAAATTATTCCAAAATAATAACTCTCCCAACTTTGTTTGCAAGGAGGTGGTATTAAAATGTCACCAACATATTCTCTAGATCTCTTTATTATTTCCTTATTATCCTTGAATGAGGATGTGACTCTTCATTTGGAAAATTATTGGATATGTTTTGTGTCTAATTTGAGAAGTTTTTGGACAACAAAACAGATGGCAACACAACAGATGGTTGAAAGACGCTTTTCAGTCAAAAAGATCACTTAAACCTTGGGCTCTGATGAGCCTAAATTGACTAAATACAGATACATTTCAGTAGATCTTTAATATATTTTCTCTCAAAGAAATTTGTACCTTTTACTGACAATCGTAAGAGATACTCCGATGTCTGCTGCGTGACGTTGACATAATTAATTACCAGAACATATTTAGACTCATCACTTTTCTGCACATTCAGTAAAACTAAATTTCTCAGCTGTAATGGATCATTATGATTGTGGAGGAGCCGATCGTGGGCATCTCTGTAGATTTCAAACTTGTTTTCAGCTACAGTGTATTTGGCGAAGCTGGGATCCCCCGATACATCCTGTTTGTACCAAATATAACTATCCACAGTATGGTTCCTCTTCTCAGGTAGATCAAAGGTCAAAGTAACATTGTCACTTATGCAACCAACAATGGTTTTTTGGATATCTTGACCAATTACTGCAAAGAAAATACAGATATATTCTTAATGCTTTGAATTGATATGTACATATATCCAGAGGCCCATGGGCCACAACACTCACCTGAGTCACTTTGCAGTTTGCATCAGCAGATTTTTTTTAAGAAGAGGCCCATGGGTTTTACTGATTATCTGAGAATCATGTAACAACTTTACAACCATGTTTTAAACCAGCGGCCATGACATTCACAATTTTGAAAGTGGCACCATTGCTCATTTTAAGTATAAACTTATTATCATGCTTAGTTTGGTTACTTAATACCAATAAGCAGTGTAAAGAAACAAAAAATGCATATCAACTAATTAGTAATATTCAGCAATAATCAGTCGTGCCACATCCCACAGGAACCCCTGACCCTGGGTCCAAACATTTCACAAAAGGCACCCTTGCTCATCATAAGTGTTTGATTAATAATAAGGAGCACTAATTTCAAAGCATTTACATTTTCAGTATACATTTAATCTTGTTATCTCAAACTTGAAGGGGGGAGGGGGGATGTTTTAAAAATATTTTCAGTTTCCTGTTGATTTCTATAGTGAAAACACAATTAGGTTTTACCAAATAGAGTTATTTCTCTTTGTTTTCCACAATAAGTAATGTTTGATGAAAATCAATATAAAACATATCTATAAATATTAAAAATTATACGATATGTTCACTTTTGAAAATACACTTAGAGGTAGGCTGGAGAACAATACAATCCTTCGCCGTTCTTCCTAATTTATTAGGAGGAATTTATCATCATTTGTAATACTTAGGCATTCTGCATGCTTTGTTCACCTATCTCCTCTTCTCTGAATACAGGCTCAGGTTTCATATTCTATAAATGCTAAAAATGCAAGATATTTTTTGTCATTACCAAGTGCTGTATAGCATACCACATAAGTAGAATTTTTTAGCGGGATTTAATTTTGGTAATATTAACCAGGATGCTGAGATCGCTAAAATTAAATATCGCTTAAAATTTATTGCGTTTTTATTTGTAGTAGCTTCTTTAGTGGGCAGTTTAAAAGCGCTAAAATTACTTCTCGCTAAATTAAAATATCAATTTTTAAGAAGAAAATGCTAAATATGCGTCCCGCTAAAATTTCCACATATACGGTACTTATCAGTCTAGTCGAACCCTCAAACGGGGGTAAACGGAAGTAGGAAATCCATACCTTCAAACGGGGGTACGCGAAATTGTTTTGATCAAAATATAGACATTCTCAAAAAAAAGTGCCGTTTTCACGGAAAAACGTGTGGTCCACAAAATATGCTCGTGCAAAGTGATGGATTATTTCGTAGCTCTGTATGTACTCAAATTTGATAGATTAAAGATGTTTAAAGAGATTGTATTGCGAAAAAATATATGTTTATTGCAAAAATCGAGACTTTTTCTCTCCCAGAGTTAGCGTATTCTGTGCCTTAACCATGTTAACCACCAGGTTTGATACAGACTAGATTTTTTATGCATAATTTAATAAAAACGGATGAATAAGGCCATAATAAAAATATTCCTAGATTCTCATCCCCGCCCGCCCCGATTTTATACCCCCGCCTTGATTTTTTTTATTTCTGTTTTTCTTCGTCTTAATTCTGATCGGGATCCACGGTATTCATCTACCATTCTACTTTCGTTTTAAATCCCGTAAAAGTCGACATGATTTTGACAGCTGAAAAGATGGTAATTGCTGTAATACATGCGTTTATATTTTAAACAAGGGTCATTGGTTGAAAAAGATCGGTGATTATGTGAAGTAAGAGATAATTGAACCATTACTATGACTTTTATTCGGGTGTTGTAGATAAAATTACATCGATTGACCAGGTCAATAAAAAATCTGCAAAATTGAAAATAAAAAAATATAAAATAAAAGCCGCCCGCCCGCCTCGATAAAAAAAAAATTCGGATGAGAATCTAGCTATTTATTTATTATGGCCTAAACAAACAGTGTTTTGTTTAAAGTTAAACTACATATAATTCCGTTCCCCGGTATTACAAATTTTGTGGAATGAACATGTTATTAATTATTTTTCGACACTTTCTTCTGTGCCCGTCAGAATTTCCTCTGTCCTGTAAACAAACTTTTGTGCTTCAGAAATGAGGTAAATAAAAACGAAAAGTAATTTATTATTTTTTTTAAATTGAAAACAAAGGTGTAGACGAATCATTTTTGCATGTTTGTGATTTTAAAAAAAATATATATTTTTTAAATAAGAAAAGTTATCGTTCTTGACTTTCGCGCGTTGCATTAAGGGAAGGAAAACCCTCGTTTGGGGGTATACCCCCGTTTGAGGGTTTGACTAGACTGCTTATTATTACATTTTTCTACTCTAGTGACAACTGAATACACTGAACTGAACAGTGACTAAGTGACCTGCTTTATAAAGGGGCCCTCAGATCTAGCTAGAGACTCATCCAATGTGGTGAAAAAATTTCTTTTATAAATTGTGTTCAGCTTTAAGTTTATTGCCAGATGCAGTGCCAGAAAAGATAATCTAACCATGACCTCCTGATCACAAACTTTCTAGATGAAATGTTTATTCAGGCATACATTGCTGTTGATAATTAAATTTTAAGGAACTGACTGATTCTCATTGATTTCCACAACTGTTATGCTCAAAGATAACTATACATTACACTATACATGAACTTTATTATATGATTTTTTTTCCTTGAAAAATATTGAGGGGCACATCCCCCTCCCAAAGTTCTAACAGCCATTTTCTGCACTAGATATTATCAATAATAAGTAAAGAAGAAAAAATCTGCCCCATGCATTTAAAAAAAAAATGTTCCTTTTCCTTCCTGACACGCAGAGTTAATGAATGTACTTAATCAGATTAGCTACTTTTTTATACCCTATAAACATGATAAAAGAAGGAAGTATTTCATTATTATCTACATGACTATGATACAATTTTTTTTTTTGTTTAATAATTAAGTAATAAATGATGATGCTAACCTTATACATACTCCATATTTGATAGGTCATTATACAAATGTCGATCAGAACTTCCTAGATAGAATGAGTTAGATAAATTAGCATTTGTCTTATTTGTTTGTCTTTTAAAAATATTCCCACTGGCTCATCAGGCTTAGTCCTAAACCTAATTTTGTATCCAGACCCAAGCCTGATTGGCCGTCTTTAAAGAATCCTAGATCTGCTATTGAACACCAATACATTTTCTTAGAAAAATTTAAGATACATTACTTCACTTACTGTCAATCTTTGCAAAGATTTTTTTTTAGCAATAGGGAAGTATTTTCAGAATTAGATTATCAATTTGTATATAGATTGTAGATAGATTGTAGCTACTTTTATCTAACTTATTAATAATTTAATTATTTTATTTAGTTTTTAGCAGGTTTTGAGTAAACTACAAATAGAAACAGGTTCCTTTTTCATCTTTATGCTCTGAAGATGATGCATCCCCAGAAATTGAATTTAGTGAACTATTAACATGATTAAATATTACAGAAGTAATTGGATTAAGGTCAAGATCTAGACTAGTAAATGACTTAAGATTGTCGTTAGGTGCTAATTCTAATTTTGATGTCATAGTAAATTTAAACTTCCTTTTCCTGTACTTTACACCTCTAATGAGTTATGTAGGAAATCCAATAATTTCATAATAAATAATATACCCCGAGTCAGAGCAAGCAAACATTATGTTAAAGATTCCCTGACCATAATTGCATTTAAACTTATGCAGAGGAACTAATATCAATTATGTTGATTAGCCGTTTCTCTTGTCTACATAGAAAATACATGAAATATCGGGACTAGATCTATTCTTTACTGAATATGAGTCATTAATGGGTCATATTATGTATGCATGAAATAGTCCATAAAAATTAATACTACAATTTGTGCTCTTTATTTCATGTTGCTGGGAATGAAGTGTTCAATAGAAGCTAGGCTATTTTATGTCTCGGAAACCTGCTAAAAGTAGTGGGGAATTAGTCTGCGTTTATGATTAGCCTGGCCCTGGGGTTGGGTGTGCAATGAGAAGGTCGTTTTAATATGCATCGGTAACTGCATAATTTTATGACAACATAATTAACCTTGTTGAGATAATATTTTACATACCAGCTTTCAATCTCTATTTTTTTAATTATAATTTTGACATTCTGTATTTTCAACATGTTCAATGATTGTGATATTTACTGATAAATCTATTTTTTAGTTTTACACAGAATATTGAAAATGAACATGAAACAAAATCCGATAGATGTCCGATTTACAACATATTTAAAAATGTATAAGACTATTTGACATACCTCTGTCTGCAAACACAAAGAATACCACAAATAGATACAGAAACTTCATGTTCATCGGCATCATCCTGCTATCGATAGAGAAAGATGGATTTTTGCCGCAGATTAAGATTTGGTTTCGCTTTCAGCTCGTTATGCATGGACGGGACTAAAATGTCGAAATGTCTTAAATGACCTGACCGACAAAATGGGTGAAGAAAATCTGCCGCTAGTTGTTATTTATTAGCTAATCGGATATATTTATTTTATCACTACAGAAAATGACAGGATTAGTAATCCTGTCATTTTCTGTAGTGATAAAATAAATAGACAACAGACACTATTTTATTTCCATTAAAAACGTGTTTAGTTCAGCCCTGGACGGCTGCATTATGTATGTACTAAAGAATACCTGTTGACATTCCATTTCTGAATTCATTTTAGTCTACTTCAGCTACCCTCATTGTGATTGATCCAGATCAAGGGTGCTTGAGGACAGAACCCCCGCACCCCACCCCCTTTTCGATATATATAAACCCTTAAATTGGGCCTTTTCGACTTTTTTCTCATAAATTATTTTTCAATGTCATATTTGTGATAAAATCTACACCAGAAATGCGAAAAATTACCTAAAACAAGCGTTTTATAAATCAGCCCTACATTCGATATAAAATTTAAAAATCAACACATATAACATATATAATCATGAGTAGAGTGGGGTAATTTTTTTTTAAAATAAAATGTTTGTTTAGGCAAATTTTCTGAATTAATCGGATAGATTATATCACAAATGTGTCATCCATATAAAATTTATGTGAAAAAAGTCTAAAAGGCCCGGGGGTCTATATTGGGGGGGGGGGGGGGGGGTCCTGTCCTCAAGCACTGACATCAGGGGCTCGTAACATAAAGGGAACTTAAGTCTATGACCATGCTTAAGTAGGACTTAAGTACAGTCTTAGCCTTAAGACCGTAACTCGAAGCGTGCTAAGATTTGACAATCTCAGCAAAACTTAGGCGGCCGGTTGAGGTGACTTAAGTATGTCTTAACTATCTAATCTACATATTTAGAAGTAATAAATATAAAAATCTCGACGTTAAAACATTTCTTTGTTCATACTATGCATTAAAAAAAAACCAATTTACCAAATGAATGTAAAATAGTGATAAATGAGTTCTAGCTTTTTGCGGGGGGTGGGAGTCGGGTTTGAAAACAGATTTATTGAACACTAATTCTAGTATCAGTCTTGACATGGCATATATGTACATGCTAAAAAATTTTTTTGAAATATTAATTAAATTATATAATTTATGTTACTTACTATCTGTATAATTTGGAAAATAAATTGTGAATTATTATGTTGGTTGTGACATTGTGAGATATAATAGACTTTAAAGACAGAGATATTGTTGGTACGGTAAATTAGAAAATGAATTTTCTCAGATTTATTTCATGTAGGTCTATAGATAAACGTTCAATTTATCGTGCAACATGTCCGCGACTATGGCAAAGCGAGTGAATATTTTTCAAAACAAAAGAGTGACAACAAAAGGTAACTGAAAACATCGCAGTCTAGAGTGATAAACAAAAGTCATGTTTTTACAATGAATCATTATTATAATTTACAATTTTCAAATATTAAGAATAATTTTCAATTGTATTTTTACTATGAAATCTAATCCAACCTAACAAAATTAAAACCGATAGGTTATTACGAACATCAACTTTTATACATGTGTATATTTAAAAATGTAACTGATTAATTTTTTAAGCAATATATGTAAATTACGTGAAAAACTAGGGTTATGTATGAAAAATAAAGTGAACTTAAGTTTGACTTAGTTAAGACCTTGCTAAGTTCGTTTTATGTTACGGTTTAAGACATACTTAAGTAGTACTTAGGCATGTCCTAAGATTGGGCCTAAAACATACTTAAGACCCTACTTAAGTTAAAAACTTAGCAAGCTTTATGTTACGAGCCCCTGATCCAGAAAATCCACCTGTGACGTCATTCTTTTCTTCGAGCGCTCCATTACTTTTAAGGAATGGAGAGTTGCAAATTACATTGAAAACGAAATTTGTTATGGTCTAATTCTCCTTTCCGTGCCTCTACCAAGGAAATAACTTGGAAAATTTTAGAGAAGAGTTTTGAAAAATTTTAAAGGTTAGTTTCACATTAAGAAAATTAGATCACCCATGATGAGAATCGAACCCGGTACCCTCATCATAGCAGTTCGATGCTCATTTCACTGAGCCAACGAGGCAGTTGGAAGACTTGTGTTTAGATTAAATTCAGTACACTTTTTTTAGTTTTTCTTTCTTTATTATATATAAATACTACTACTAATATGTAAAAAGTATTTACAATGTATCATATAAATATTCTTTATTATGTATTAACAAACAATAAAAACAAGCATTCAGAAAGGCGGATTTTACGCGGGTTAATATACTCGTAGCGCTCCATTCCTTAAAAGTAATGGGCCTTGGCCCCTTCGGGGCCTCTGCTCCATTACTTTTAAGGAATGGAGCGCTACTCGTACATTAACCCTTACGTAATGCGCCGGCCTAATTTCGGAATGGTTTAAATAAAACAAGCTATAGGTGTTTAATTCTTTTTTTATGTGGGCCGGGAGAGAGGGCTGATCTAGATCTTCGAAATAAGAAAAGACCTCCGACTCTGCATTTATAGCGGGTTATTCGTTATATATATATATATTTTCAACTTTTCAACCATTTTTCAGTGAAGAAGAAAAAAATCTCTTGTCATCCTAGAAATAGTCTTGAGGCTTAGTACTATCCAAGAATGAAATATATGGAGATAAAATATTATTATACAAATTGTGTGTGGTCTGTTTTGTGAATGCATGGTCAGGAATAAATAACCCCCCTTTTAGAACACAGGGACTTGAGAGAGTCTTAGCAAAATCGAGTATATAGTATACTATATATCCGATTTTGCTAAGACTATCTCAAGTCCTAGCTGTGTTAAATTTTAGAATAAGTATAATGACAGTCATACATGTACGGGGCACTCCTACTTATTTTACTTCACATAAGTTAAAGGAGGGGGGGGGGGAGAATAAGCACCTCCTACAAATATTTGGTCTGGGAACCCCTGTCAATCATTTCAAATTAAGCCTGCTATTGGAGGCTTGAAAATGATTGACGTTTAGCAACTAGTTCTTGTGTATACCTTGTCTACCTCAGTACCTGGTCTGGTGATCGAGTCATTCGTTAAAGTAACTTTCAGTCATTTGATGCTTACCGCCTATATATACAGGGTGTCCCATAATATATGATACCATTTCATGATTATATAAAATATAATGTAATGAATTTTGAATAACAACAAATGCACCATAAACATTGCATATACTGTCCAATTTTATTCACACAATGTGATGATCATTGAAAGGAACACGACAAAATGAGTTCACTTTGAAAAATGCTATCCTTTTTCAATTATGTCCCCTACATGACGTCAAATCTGGGTAATGATTATGTCAAGACATTGCACAAAATTCCATAACTTAAGACAACAGTGCGGTTTTCTTTGGTTATAATCTGGATTTTCATTGGAAACATACCTTTTCACAAATTTAAGATTTAGATTTAAGTTTAGTAACAATATCTTAAGACTGGGTTTGATAATTAGCTTTTAAATGAGGGTATACCAAGCTTGTTTGTCAATGATTACCGGTAATCCATTTTGCTTGACATGCATTTTTAGCAATCTTTGACGTAATTATGCGGCTACATTATTCTAACTATGTGACAATTTTTAACTGAAATTATTTGTTGCTAAAAATTGTATTTATTCAAATATTAAATGAGACAAAATTCAAAGAAATTGGCCAAGACTTGCGTTTATGACAATAATTTAAAATGGTATCATATATTATGGGACACCCTGTACAATTGTGCGATAAGAAAGTTTTCGATACGGGAATAGCGGCTAATATCTTTATTTGTTCATGTTCTAAAATAATTTTGACGCACAATTCGTCAGATGATAAAATAAATTATTAATATTTCATGCTTAGATTTTTTACGAAATTAAAAAAAAAACGGTATTTATGGTATATGACTCAGGCGCGGATCCAGAAATTTTTCAAAGGGGGGGTTGAAGTATTTTTCAAAAGGGGGGGGGAGTTGAAGGCGAGAACAGTTAAAACGTAGTACGTTGTACACATACATATAGTTAAATAACTCAATAGAATATGGATACAGGGTGGAGTATGGTTTTTGAAAGTGGGACGTTGATCAATCTGGGAAAATGTACTTGACTGTATACATTACCAGAAAGTTTTTGAAAAAAAAAGGAAAATAAAAAACGAAAATCCTATTTTGTAAAGGGATGGGGTTTTATTTTGTTTTTACAACCACATTTCTTTATATATTACATTAGCCTTTCACCTTACATTTTCTATAGTAGAAACACAACAAAAAAATTAGAACTTTCTTATTTCTCTTACTCTTTTGCAAATTCAAAGGGGGGGTTGCAACCCCCGTAACTCCCCTTCTGGATCCGCCACTGTGACTTTTTTCATGCGTGCCCCTATAGGCGTTCCTTCGCGACTCTAGAGCAGACGCTCTAACCACTGTTGTAAGGTCAAACACTGACAAATTCCAGATTTTGGACAGTTGATGATTTTTTTTTTGGCTTGTCCGTCAGATTTAATATTCTGGGACGTTGTCCCATCCCCTTTTTGTTTTTGATCAGTTAGAAGTTTGGGGGTCAGTAAGATTTTGTTGTTTTTTTGGGGGGGGGGGGGTGGATTTGAACAAAACTTCTGAAGGCATGCAATTTCAATAACATATCATTATCCTTCCTCCAAAAGCATTTGAAATTTAAAAAAAAAAATAAAAAATAAAATTTCGACTTAGTGAGGATCCGGACACATTACTTTAGTATGTAAATAATAGGAACGAGTGGAAGGTGGACGGCTAACGATGAATGAGAGAAATTGTAAAGTATATCATTTAGAACGCCTTATTCATGTTATTAAACATGTTAAATGTGAAGGGCTTAAGGTGTTTCCACCCTCACAATTTTAATGGTTCAAAGTACAAAAACTGCATTTATTTTCAATTAATATACTTAAAATTTTACAATTATTGCAAAAAATGTATAGGTTACCATATTATTTAAATTGCCAAACATAGATAAACAGAAGTGTATGTCAACATAAAAAATCGCACATTTTTTGTAAACAGTATAATGAAAAATATGTAAAAACTGGTTAAAATTCATAATTCTGATGCTGATGTTCCTAGATACTTCCTACTTATAAGATACTTTTAAATTGTGAATACCAGGGACACTATTTTACATTAGAATTACAAGAAAGCAAATGTGTGAATGAAGAGACCCTAGAAGGAGTCATTGCCCTTGTCAACATTTTCAAAAGATTTAAATAATTGTTTAAATAAAAAATATGCATTTTAAAAATTCTTTTACTTAACAATATTTATCATTACACTTATTGTAAAGCATTCTTCCAAAAGATATTGTTTTATTATGTATTAATTTAAACTAATTATAGTTTTTGCATGCTTCTTTATTAAATTACTTAATCTTATTTTACATGTGAGACTGATTAACACTCACTGAACTAATTATTGTAATTATTATAGCATTACGATTTTATCTTTATGTACTGAAAATTTCGGTAAAATTGATAGGTATATATACACTGGCACTCTGGTGGTCTGCCAAAGGGAATTGATTATTGTATTCATGTATAATACAGTATACAGAAATCAGCTGTTATATCTCTTGTATAATAAATGCAGCTTCAAAGAAGGTGCCCCCGGCTTTTGTGTTTATCCCTTGAAAAGACCAAAGTTTTGTACTGAACTTGAGAAGGATCCGAATGCTACATGTATACGGTCAATTTAAACCATATCTGCGTTCCATATTTGTACATTCATGTCTAAATTTACCAATTTACTCACCGATGTAATGAAGTACTGTATTTGTTAATTACAGCCTAAGTTTAGGACAAGGTACGTCCTTACGAAAACTTCTTAATAAAAAAAACTAGTTATTTATTTAATGTTTAACTTTACCCTATTGTAAATTAAAAGTTAATTCATATATTATGCTCAAGCTTGTAGGATCTTTGTTTATATACATAAGGCCCCTAGGCCTAGCCTGTAAATAATAAATTATACTTCTAATGTTGATTACTTTTCACAGAAAATGTAATTTAGCTTAACGCATTGTCATTCAAGATTTTCAGGTTACATATACATGAACAGTGCACTGTCAGTAAAAAATAAATTATATAAAATTCCATTTCGTAATCGCTGACAAGTTTAATACTCCTCTACGGCGGCTTAGAAGGGTCTTGATTTTTGGTCATATCAAGGAATAGACGCACATTTTCAAAACCCTACCCAGGTTAATATTTTACCATATTGTAAATACTGTAGGCCTAAATATCAGTTGTATTTCAGTATACTTGCTAACGTCTATGCCTTTATGAAGTCAAATAAAAAGAATTCGTTGCAACACGTATTGCATTCATGATGGAATCAGTTATTTAAAGGGCCAGTTAACCCTTAAGAAAGAGGACCTGAGCATTGTATGAAAAATCGAAAATTTCCATTTTTTGTCATCAATTTCCTCAATAGACGAAAAAAGAAACTATCATGTTATTTAGTAAGTCCAAACTTTAAAATAATTTTAGAGTACATGTGAACGGAGGTGATGGACGGAATTTCTCACATGTTTGCAGAGACTGGGGATAAGGGCTGTAATCGTAAAAAGTTCCGTATTGTTCACATCTCTGACACGCACATGGAACACGACAGCATGATCCAGAGCATCCCAGACGGTGACGTCATCATCCATTCCGGGGACTTCGGCAAACGAAGATTCATGAATTTCTTTTTTGATGATTATCGCGATTCAGAGATGTTGCAAAAAGTCAATATATTTTTCAAACAACTGCCTCACACGTATAAAATATATGTGGCAGGAAACCATGATACTTTTTTAACAAGATTCTCAGCAGAAGAAATTCAAAGTAGAATGCCTAATGTGACCTATTTACAAGATTCATCTGTTGTTTTTGATGGCGTGAAATTTTATGGAAGTCCATGGACAATTGCATCTAGCAAAATTAAAACATCCAAAGCCTTCACGACAGATTCGGCCGATCTGCAGGACCGATGGAATGCCGTAGAAGAAGACACGGATGTTTTGATAACTCACACCCCTCCCTACGGGATGTTAGATTATTCCCGTCAACGAGGAGACAAACCCTCAAAAGATGAGTGTCAGTTCTGCGATAAAGTTCACCCGAAAGTGGGTCATGCTGGATGCTATTATCTAAGAAAAAGTCTTTTGCGAAACATCAGGTATACCTTCTACTTAATATTTTACATTTTCATGAGGACGATTGATTTTCTCCACACTTCAAATTTAACCTTACAGGAACTGATTTATAAAAATAATACATCATGTCCTTAATCACGAAGTACTATCGTGAATGAAGCTGTGAAGATAACAAACAGGGATTGTTTTCAAATGTCCATAATGAACAGAGTCACCCGAACCTCTGAAAACAGGGGTGGGATTTGTTGCCAATGTGTAGTAAGCAACCCCTATCGATCGGTCAAACCCACCGTGTGGTCCTTACATGGTTTAATAGAATTAAGCGTAGACTTTTCAGAAGTAAAAATAAATTCGAATGCATTAAAAGTTTTGAACAACACATATCAAGTGTTTTTACTCATTTTAGAATGATGACTTTTTGGTTCACTAAAGACATGGAATGTAAAATTGTTGGCTACCAGAAATGTGTGTTATTTAAAGTTCTGCTTTGTTCTAATCACAGGAGTTCGCGTACCTATCAATTTTACCGAAAATTTCAGTAAATAAAAAAGATACGTAATACCTATAATAATAACACAAGGAGTGCAACGCATTTTAGGTCACCGGGGAACCCCTTGCTTAATATCAAGGCTGTCGCACAATTAATCTTCAATCGAAAATTATCAAACACAAACCAATCTTTTTGGAAGGGACCATTCTTTATGCCTCTTAATGCATATGATTTCAAACGAATGTTTTACAGCAACAGCGGTGACATTTCCCCACAACTTCGCTCAAATATCCGTTGTCCGCGACGCCATTCCGTGACGTCACGGGCGCGTCCATTTACCCCAAAAGGAACAAAACTGCCTGAAATGCTAATCTAGATAATTGAGGTCATATGTGAAAAGAAACCAGAGACAAGTTAGTAAACATTCAAGAAAATTTAAAACGGGGAGGCACAAGTACTTGTACTCGTATGTAAACGTAATATCGTTATCTCTAGTTAATAGTGTATGATTATTTTTTGTTCCTATTGGTAAATGGAACGCCCGTGACGTCACGGAATGGCGTCGCGGACAACGGTTGCACTCCTTGTGTTATTATTATAGGTATTACGTATCTTTTTTATTTACTGAAAATTTCGGTAAAATTGATAGGTACGCAAACTCCTGTGGTTCTAATCTTAATGCCCAAGTTAGTGATTATAAAAGAATGATTATAATATTTGCTTTTAATTAAAATATACCGAGTATAATGCTCTACCTAGAATTTAACTCGTATGGAAGAAGAAGAAAATCTTTTCCTTATGCATTTTCTTTTTTTGCAGACCAACGATTCATCTATTTGGCCACTTGCATGGTTCAGCAGGGTTAACAGAATATGACAGCATCACGTTTTCCAATGCTGCATTTGCCAACAAACGCCAAATTAATGTCATAGACCTATACAAAGATTTAATAAGTTCATTGTAGACTACACCTTCTTTAGCTATTTTTTGATTTTAGACTTCATTTAGATAGCTATTTCTGAATTGTAGAATAGACATGCATGTACATTTAATTCTCGATCGTGGACTTCACTTGTACAACTGCAAAGTTTTTTTTCATACTTTTTAATTTGAAAAACCAAAATCGCTTTTAAACATTTCTTCACATGTTTTATTAGATATTAATACATCTGTATTCTGCATTAATTCACAAAAATTTAAAATCTAAAAAAAGACATTTTTTTCATACTCGTATTTACTGTAAAATAGTTTTACAAATAGCGATTCCTCGATCGTAGATTACATATATGCATGTACATGTAGGCCTATAGCCATTTTTTTCTGAGCCAGAAAACAGAGATATTGTTTTGACTTCCATAATATTGTTTTCTTACTAGAAAAATTAAATTTCCAAAGGGTGGCCATTCGGAAAGGCAACTTGCTAATTAAATGGTCTGTTATCGATGTTGTTTAGAAAAAATATACATGTCAAAATATTTTTATATTTATTGTCATATTTAAGATGATATTTTTATTGAATGTGCCAAGAATTTCAATATATGTGATTTATTTATTTATTTCATTTGCAAACAATGTTATTGCCTTTTATATAACTTATTTTTTTTACTTATATGTTTCCAAGATTTGATCAGACTCTGCAGCAAAGAGGATTCTTTCAAGAAAATCACACAGGAAAGATTTATTGATTATGTCTTATATTGAAATTCCTGTAATCTTCAGGCACCTGAATCACTTTGAATATAATACTAAGTAATAATTAAACCTTTTTTATTATTAAAAATAGAAAATTAGCCTAGGATAAATTTCTGTTATCTTTTTATTGCTGAAATCTTGGCCCATCAGATCTCTACACGTCATGTATATCTTCTTCTTTAACTTCTGTAACATGCATGTATTAATCAGTAGCTCGTCCATCCTCTGAATTATTGAAGTGTTCAGTAGAACTGCATCTTCTATTACCTTTTCTTCCTTAAACCCAACTGAAATATGAAGCAATGGCCAATAAAACTAAATGTGACATGTAGTGTTCTGTAGATGCATGCAATTCAGTATAAAAATTTCAGCTTTTACTCTAGGAAACCATTGGATTGATTGATTGTATATTGTTTAACGCCGAGTCGGCAATTTTTCAGCCATATTTCGGCGGGGAAACCATTGGAGGTTGAAACTATTCTTCTCAAGTTCCACTTACATTTTAAGCAGTAGCTCTTCATCTTTTGAAATATGTAGGGTTGTATTTTATAGATGTGAAATATTTTTAATATTCTTCCGGAGGGGTCTGGAAAAAATGTTTTCCAAAAAAATTTGATCTATAGAACTTCCCTTGTATTTACACAGTGACAATTTTAAACCATCTTTTTGAAAATGATTAGTGTTGTTCTATATAGATGTGCAATACTGTCCTAAAATCGGTGCCCTTACTGCCTATTGGGGGTCGAAAACATTGTTTTCTATAAATTCTTCTCTCAAGTTTCTTTTACATTTTCAGTAGTAACCAACTCATCAATTGCAATATGATCTTTACGGAGCGTCCCATGGATGTGTACGTGACATGCTGGGAAAGAAAGTCTTTTGTTCAAAAACTACGTCGAGGAATTGACGTTTTAATAGGGTAACATGAAATTAAAACCTTAATGTACATGTACGCCTACAGGAAAACACTGATCATATTCCAAAAGATGAATTATCTACTTGTACATTAGCTGCAGAAACTGTAGCGTTATGGTTTTACATGTTAGTCTTTGACCATTGCGCTACAGATCCCGTAATGCAAATATTAAACATGCAATTTACGGCGCAAGATTTTCCGCGCACGTTTTGGCGTACATGTATATTTCTCTATTTTCCAGCATTGGATTTCAACTACCTTTCATTCCATATATTCTGTTAGTAATACCAACCTATATATTTGATTCGCCTAGTTTAACCATTCATAATCGTCCCTACAGACAAATTAACTCGCTTGTTTTGAATTTTGTTCAACCTGACAAAAATTTCAAAACGAACGTTATTATATTTTTTGGATTGTATAGAAGGTTATAAAGGAACAGAAAGTAGATAAAACATTTAGGTTGGTCATAGAATAATTATATCTAGAATTAAGGAATGAAAAGAACATGTAGTTGGTTGTCCAGTGCTGGAAAGTAGAGGAATATACATGTACGTCCGAATGTGCGCATAAAATCTTGCCCCGTAAATTGTACAATATTTGCATTACTGGATATGTAGCGTTATGCTCAGAGATTAATGTATAATAAAAACCATAACGCTTCAATCTCTGCGGTAACTGGGTACATGTAATGTGTGAGAGGGTATAAGAAACCAGGTTTTGTACATTTACCTCATTTTCGACTCGAAATCAGACCTTCAGTAATTCTTAACTTTGTTGCTCATCTACAGGGTACTTCATATCATATTTCAAAAGATGAATTAGCCAAAGCGTTACGTTACAGTAGCTTAAGAAAGATTTTAAAGAAAAACGAAATCCAATAAGCATATAATATAGGATAACATAATAGCATAAGATGCCTACCTAACCATTCATATAAATACAGTATATAGCTACCTTTATACATATTAACAAAGTAAAAAGGAATATGATTATAAAGGCAAACACTTCTTATGTCCATATATTGATTTTTAAATACTAGTACTAAGTTCATGTATAGTATTTGTATTGTTTAATTGGACTTTTGAGTTTGAATACTGTATTTTATCTCCATTTTTATTTCATTTAGGTAATAAATTAAGTTTTTTTGTTTTGTTTTTTAATTTTTAATCCTTACAGAGGTATTTTTCCCCAAATACATGGATTCATGATATATACTTGTACATATATACACAGAAAAAATATGACTGAGATACGTATTTTTCGTTCTAAACGACATTTATACAGCTAAGTACATCCTGAGTGTTTGTAAGTGCTTTAAAAGTGTATCACTATGAAACATGAAGAAGAGCTCTCAACTGTCATGACAACACTTAGGACCTCTGTCTTATAAGTGTATCAAATAAGGCAAACTACACTGTAGAACCCCTTTTAACAGGAAAGTTATAATATTTACAATGCGTTTTCTTTATATCATTAAAGCTTATGCTCTATGTTTATTTTGTATATTTTTCACAATTTCTGATTTTAAAAAGTCAATATACGTCCATATAGACCATACACACATGTATGTATATGTTTCCGCGTACTTATATAGAGACATCTTATGTTTAGTATGTAACCGAAATTCTTAATGGAAATATTTTAAAGAACATAATCAAAATGTAAAGAAATTAAATTTTTTTATGTGTGATATCAAATTTCAAATTTTCTGTTAAATCTACACTTTATAAACTAGCTCCCATTACAATTTAAAGTTTAAAACTCCACTGGATAGAGGAAGAGCTGGTGTGCCAGTGGGATGTCTGTATAAATAATTTTCTGTTTACAACAGTATCAACACAGAGCCAAGATTACAGGAATGATTTCATACATACACGTTATCATAAACTAACAAGGTCTTACTTCACACTTATATCTGATGATTTTTTTTTAAATATAAAATGCATTCTATGAAATAAATTCAGATTAGAGTTTTGGGAGAAACCATTGTGCAGGTTAGCACAGTGCAAAATTAGATCAAGGAAGCTTTCCGTAAATACAATATGTGTGTTGTATAGTGCTACAAACGTATTTTAAATATTAATTATATTTGAGGTTCAGATATTAATCTCGTTAAAGAAGTTCTGAAAGTATAACCTGATTATTCGTCAAGAGAAATAAGAACGCATTCAAAGCATTCATAGTCATATGCACCAAAGGATGTGGTGTCTCAAGATTTGTTAGCAAACGATGTTTAATCACTTAGCAAAGAAATTGTATACCTAAATCTTTATGCTACTCTTGAAATTACAACGATACATTGTTGGTTCCAGTAAATGTCCAACCAAGCCTCTTTCTTTACTCCTCACTAAGATATTAACAGTATTGATGGAGAAACTTCAAGAATACTGTGCAACAATATATTCAAGAAGTGATATGAATCAAATGTGGATACTAAAATTTCCTAAGAACTTTTGGACAATTTGAAATCACAAGATTTCACCAAAATCAACAGCTTAAAAACTTACGACTTTTTAACTTTATACACAACAATTCCCGACGATAAATTAAAGTCCAGGTTTTTTGATAGCATTGACAGCTGCTTTTTCGATAAAAATGGAACTTGTAAATTTACTTACCTGGTCATTGGTCATTTGCAAAATTGTTTTGTTAAAACACATTCTGAGTACACACACAAGTACTCTGAAGTTGACATCAAAAAGATGCCTGAGTTTCTGATTGACAATATCTATGTGGTTTTTGGGTACCAGGTCTTCCAACAATCTATTGGAATCGAAATCGGTACCAATTGCGCTCCGTTATTAGCTGACCTAATTTTGTATTCATATGAAGCAGAATTTGTGCAAAATCTTATGCGTGAAAAGAAGAAAACATTTTCTGTGGTCTTTAACTCGACTTATAGATATATCGACGACATATTGTCAATTAACAATGGTAATTTCCAGTCCTATGTCGCTACGATATATACTGGTGAGCTTGAGAAAAAGGATACCACAGAGTCTGACACATCTGTTTCATACTTAGATATTTTACTTGAAAAAGACGTTACTGATTATCTAACTACCAAGCTCTATGATAAACGTGATGACTTTAACTTTTCTATCGTCAATTTCCCTTACTAATGCAGCAATATACCTTCATCACCTGCAGAGTTTATATATCTCAGTTGATCTGATACGCAAGAGCATGCTTTATGTATGAAAAATTTCTAAAACGATGTAGATTATTGACAAACAAGTTGATGAAACAAGAATATCAGCAGTCTCGTTTAATGTCATCATTTCGTAAGTTCTTTGGTCGATACAATGACCTTGTCAGCATATACAATTTATCACTGAGTCAAATGCTAACTTACATATTTCATACTAATTGTCACAATTATATTTTCAGATATTCTTACACATTTTTATCAAGTGAGCGCTTTTGTTCTTTGGTTGCTATATCAATCAACATTGGGAAATGTCACGTGACTGTATAGATACCTAAACTGAACGATCATTACAAAACATTTCATCTTTCATATCAATGACATGTTAGAATCTACGATATCGTAGCTCCAGGTTGGACCTTATTGTAATGTAAGTCACGCTCCTTGCGCTCTTCAGTTGGCTGGAAATGATATCAATAATTATATTTATGACCTGATGTATAATACAATTTTAGAGGTTTGAATTTTTTTAGTAAGATAATACTATAACAATAATCTGACATCATGATGACCCTTAGAAATATGAAAGCCATAGCCCCACCCACTCAATAGTTAGAGGTTAGGTTAAAGTTGACAATAGAAAGACATGACCTGAATAAGATGTAAATATTACACAAATGAATACTTTTGCAAACTCAACAGACAATATTACATACATGAACACACCAAGAACACATTCATTGATTATTTGAATTTTCATCTTCACTTTTTGAATCCTTGTGCGGATGAACTTTGTTTATTTCACTGACATCCATCGTCTTTCTTTCTTTTTGGAGTTTTAGATATCGTTGATGGAAACTGTTTTGACTGTAATACTCAGAAAAGTTGGATGCGATGATCGCTACTGGCATGGCCAACAGCAAAAGGCCGGATAACGCGCACAACACCCCGACAACATAACCCGCAATGGAGGTGGGATATACGTCACCATAGCCAACTGTTGTCATGGTGATAATAGCCCACCACATTGAAATGAAAATACTCGAAAATGAATTGGTATTTGTAATCTCAGCGTAGTATATCAACGTAGCAAAAAATAACATTCCAATACAAAACGTTATGGCCATCAGCAATAGTTCTAAGAGACTGTGCTTAATGGCGAGGAGAAGAACTCTCAATGCGCTAAAGCGGCGGGCGATGCGAATGAAGAGGAGCAGTCGAACCATGCTTATGGCTTTAAATATAAAATAAAACCATCGAGCCACCTCGTTTTCCGCCAGAATTGACTTGAAAAACTCCATAACGAAATTCATTAGCATCGCAAATACAAGAACAAAGCTGACAATGTGGGTCCATGACGTCAGGAACTCTCTTTTATTGGGACATACAAAGAATCCCACGCTCCACTCCACCAAGAAAAACAACAGACATCCGGTCTCCAAAGCAAAAAGAGCCGGAACAGGGTCAGTGAGAATTAAGGTGGTCAGTTTGTCGTTTCCAGAGAGATGTATATCCGGGTAGTGGTGGGTGATGATTTCTGAGACATACAAATCTGTACGGAGGTCCTGTATGTTCCAAATGCAGAAGATCACGATACTCATGAACACAACACATAGGTATAGACAATACCAGGTCTGCAATGAAAGAGATAGAACTTGCATCCAGATTGCAATCGTTACAATTCATGTATTTACCGTTTTAATCAGTTACAGTGTATATTGTCTAAATACATGTACATTTATTTCTTGTTGAAAAAATACACGTAATTTATAAACCATGAACTTGTATTCACCTGCAATGGCATTCTTAATAAGATACATGTATATAAATTATTATCAGCATGTATTTAAGGAATCACTGTCTAGTTAGTATAGTATGCCAGGGCATCAACGACAGTGGGAAACATGAGATAATTTGCATGTTTCCATGTTTCCCACTATTGTTGATGTCCCTGGCATACTATACTAACTAGACAGAGATTCCTTATATTTCCATTTCATTGTGAAATAAAATTGTAGATTTAGACTTCAAAAATGTAGACATAGATTTAAATTATTCGATGATTCCCATTCCAATTTCAATAGTCATCACCCACTGACGTCAAACACAAAGGCAGCCGCACAAGATTTACATGCATATTTGGCCTCCTTAGCGTAGTCACAGAGACAGATGGGAACGAGATTTGCATGCATATTAGACCGCCTTAGCTCTTGATCTATCGACCTGCCTAATTTACATTCCGGTAGAATTATCAAGATATCAACTCCGCTAATTTTCAAAGAGTTATCACAGAGAATAAATTAGAAATGGAAAGATTTTGATTTTAAGTTCATTTTTGTCTATTTATTTATTTCCCAGCCCGTGTTCCTTATTAATTATGATTAGAAAAAAATGATAGTGCAATCTTAAAAGTCACAATCCATGATATCAACTAACGTCTCCCTCAAAGGAATTCAATAAATTGAATAAAGTCCGTATATGTTTTTCAAATAAAATTTTTCTTTCAAAATATGACATCAGACCCACCTGAATATTGGAGACCTCACCTGTGTATAATCTAGTTTAATAAACTTACTTAGTTTAATAAACGTACTAGACAATGTAGTCTATGTGGAATAAATAATGTTCAAAAAAACTAGTTTAGACCACAATTAAATATCCATTTCAACACTTTTTTGTCTCGCACGTCTTACAACCACTTGACTATGGTCTCATCTGGCATAATAAAAATATTTGATAATTTCATAAGTGACTAGAGAAAATATTAAATTATCTCATTACTAGTCTTCAATGGTCTTTTAGAAACAAAGAACAATGTTTAAACTTAACATTGAAAAATATATTATAATAGTTGATAAAACAGACGAGTATTAAATAGAAACGCAGCTTGGTAAACTAATATACTTACCCAGTACCCGACACCTTTTTGTTTATGAATTAGATTCAGTAATTTTAATATATACTACTATATCATTTAAAATAGAACTTTATGTGATATACGATATTAATAGAAATGTTTGAATGAAATAAATCGTCTCAAATAGAATTGGGACCGTAGCCTCCCAAATTTAAGCAAGGAATTTATTGTTTCATTCATTTGCTAGAAATCCTTTCAGGACATGAAATACTTGTAAAATCTTTTGATGAACAGTCATTACACAAATTTAAAGGGTGTGAGCCATGTAAAAATATTAAATATTAAAGTATAATAAAAATAACATACATGTAATATCGAAAAACGTACCTTTGCGAGTTTTGAAGAACCAGGATTGTTTAAGACAAGCCAAATTCTCTCCTTTAAAGTTTCACACTCTGTCCAAGAACTTTTTAAATCCTCATGTCGAATAAGATCGTTTAAAACGGCCATGTCATCCTCATGTTGGAAATACTGCCTCCAGCAACACTCCCTGACATTTCCATTTTCGATCTCCCAGAAACTCAGTTCGTCCCGTAACAATGCTCCACAGATATGCTTGGGAACATGCAAGTTCCCAGTTACTAGAAGATTCAAGATCACATTAAAGAGTTCCGGATCTCTGTCAAAGAAATATTCCTGCTTCTCTGTATCATATGACGTATGATCACGTGTCAGTTTTGCAAGTTTCGAATTTGAAATATTATTTAATGTTGAAGCAAAAGTTTCGAATGTCCTGCCTCTGATGTTAAATTTAACTCTGTGTGCATTGTTCTCCATCCCTCTCTCATTTACTCGAACAGCTTATTGTATTAGTGAAATAAACCTGTTCCATACTAACTGAAAAAAGTAAGTAATCCAAATCAGACATAAGTACATGTATACAGAGGAAATGCAGAAACGTTATTTTGGGTATTAATGTAATCTACTTTTTCAAAAGGGCAGTACAAACAAAAACAACAATTAACATGGGGTGTTATGCTCATAATAAGAATGGACAAATATAAATACATAAAGTCTTTAGAAATGGATTTTAGAAACTTTTGAACATTAAAAAAGAAACCACTGTACAAGCTGATTATAAAGACTGGTGACTTCCAGATCGCAGGTATGTAAGCGTACAACCAAAAATGACCACACTGAATCGGAATTTCATGGCAGGAATGTCATATCGGAAGAAAAAAATATGCTTAAACAAACTGAGTTAGCTTGGAAACATTTACAAGAAACATAACAAATTTAAAACAAAAACAAAAGACAAGAAACCATAAAAAAAAATAGTCACATTACATTTTCAAAGATTTGTGATATTTCGATTTACCAAACCGAGGAGTAGAATAATCCGACAGAGGAATCACACAATGAGATATTAATATCACAAACGATGGAATACTTTAAAGATACATTGAGCATCACTATATTCAGACCTTGCCAACCATCAACAATTTGTTTCAAATTCAAAAGTATTCAGCCCCTGCGGTGTATAGCGGTAGGGCAAAGGTGGTATCTAGAGCGTCTGCTCTAAAGTCGAGGAACAAGAAGTTGATTCTTACGTCATGGGTTCGAATCCTACTTGAGGTTGAATTCCACTTGACATTGAGACCGGTGCTTCGGATTAGACAGTAAAAAACCGAGAAAGCGTGTCACAATTAGTGGTAGCACGAACGGGAAAAAAAAATCCCTGACCATTCAAAGGCCATATCCCCGAGTACGTGTATTAAGGAAATTGGTGGCGTCTCAGTGAGTGAAAAATTCTCAAAAGGGACATAAAACAAACAAAATATTTTGCTAATCAAAATTAATGGGAAAACGGCAATAAACTAAAACAATGTAAAAGTTTGTTCAAACGAACAAATGTTTGTACATTCCGCTTCTTTTATCAGTGTAAAATTCAATTTCTTTTGTTCAATTAGTTCCACAATGTGAAGTTTATATAATGCTCCGAAAACATTTTGGTCATTACATCTGTGTGATTAAAATTTATGTGTAGAATATGGGGATAATTTTAACAACAGCGTACACGTGTATCTAAATGGAGGATTTCACACTCAAGTAATATAAGTATTTTTTGAACATCATCTGTAATTTTAGAGATGCTTTAGATTCTTGCTTGTTATTTTGGTATGTTGATTATACTACAATATGTGTAAAAGAAAAGTTCTTTCGTCTTCGCTAGCCCAGGATTTTCTAATTAGAGTGAATCAGAAACCCTTGGCCAGCAAAGATGAAAATGGATTTTTCATTGTCAAACAAAAGCGGGGTGGAGAGAGAGAGAGAGAGAGAGAGAGAGAGAGAGAGAGAGAGAGAGATTCTTTTGAGCTTTCCCCAAGATAGGTCTCACAAATTAGAGTGATTTTTATAGTACTTAATTGTCTTATACAATGTACTCTTATTCTATCGAAAATTAAGTGAGCAGATGTCAACATTTCCATAGAGGAACGTAATAAATATTCCAAAGAAAATCTATACACTCATTACAAGAAGGATGTTAAATTATACCATAATGTATTAAATTCTTCACATTTATCCTCCAAAGGAATCGTATAATATCCATTAACAAGATTATAATCGATGAAGAAATGAAAGGCGAGAAATATATTTGACAATCAAGACACACCTTGTGCGTTTTTCAGCTGATCTCTTAATGATGTCTTTATAAAAGATTGTTCATTTTCTGTGTACAGTATTATTTCGTAACACTTTAAGTACTCTGTAAAATGAAGGAGAAATATTGAACTCTTATAGTTTATTAAATCTTCAAATGAATCGAGAACTGGAAAATGGTGTTCAGAACCCTAACCATTTTAACCATTGATGTAAAAGAAAATCGGAAATAAGAAAAAGAAAAAAATAATCTCCTTAAAGGTTAACTTACTATTCTGGTTACTTTCTCCAAGATCTGCTTGGTACTTTGCCTGTAGCCAAAAATTCAGAACTAACTGTGACTTTGTTAAGTCAATTATAACGATCCATTATTGAAGACCATGTTATGAACATTAAGCATTGCGTTCAGCATCGATTCTTTTCACACCAATTTGTTTGATACCTGTTGGACTTTCAGTCTCTATAATAATTAGGTTTTACACGTTATGAATGACACCTTCACTGATTAATTAAGATATCGAGCCGGAGTATTTTTTTTCTTTTAATTACTAGTACTATTTCATCCATTAATCACATGTGAAAGGATTGTTCATTAGCAAGATGTTTATTCTCATTATATGAGGCCCTGAGCTAAAAATTCCAATATTAGTATTAGCACAATAAACAACTTATGAATAACATGCTTAGAAGCTTCACATCTAAATGCGTTAGGTAAGCAATTAAATAAAAAAGTATTACCTTGGAATATGAAAGTAAGGATTAAAGGTAAACTGTATTAGTCTCGGTCATCTTTCATAGTTTATAACGGACTACAAATGCTATCATATTGGATTTCACTTTTTTATGAATAAAATTCAGAGAGAAAGAAACAATATTATATGATTATGAAATTTAACAAGATCCGAAGACTGTTGGGATCAATTAACTATTTCCAGAATCAGATATCGTCTATTAATTTTTTTCATTTCCCGAAAATGTGAATAGAGCAAACAGGGATATGTAGTTTAATAAACCATTAAAAGCTACTGCAATTAAAAGATTAGCATACATGTTGCAAATACCGGTATATTATAAACTGACATTATCAACCATTATTCTTTAATTGATCTATGTTATGTTTAATTAATTTCCCCCAGATCTCTCATGTCCAAAAAACTGAAATGTTCCAAATATGAAATGTTTCATACAAGTTCAATAAAATTTTTCCAAGAATTTTTAGAGCATTTTATTTGCTCGTTTTATCATTAAATGATAATTGACCAGGTTAAGAGAAGGATGCTATATATTTCAAAGAAATATTAATATAGGAACAATTTTCTAGTGAGAGTATTTTTTAAAATTTTGTTTTAACACATCTGTTTAGTAGCACCGTATGTAATTTATAATCAAAAAAGATATTATACAACTACAACTTTCAAAATAGGTTTTGGACGAAGGATACGTGAAAAATCTTAAGAATACATGTATACTTTTTTCTTCATGGCTCCATTTTTTTATCTTGGTAATTAAAATATTTTTGGATCCTATCTTGGTTTAAACATATAAATTATCTACAGCTAGAGGCATTATTACTCAAAAATGAAGTCCTAATATTTAGTAATATATGTGCTTTTTAATACTCTCAATTGTATTCAAAAAACAAACCTTCATAATTATGTAAGCAGAGCAAAATATGTTTCATTTAACAGATTTATAATTTTTTTTTACAAAGGGAGGGAATTGCTATGTTCATTTTTTTCTTTTTATTATCAGTTTAGAAATATCGTTTAAGAGTATACTAGTATTTATATTCAGATTCACATTACTACATTTAGCAAAAGTCAACATTAAAAAAATAAGTAAATCGTACATGAAAAAAGAAATTTCTAAAAGGTTGCCTTGAATTTAGAAGACATCGCATGAGAATATCGTATATGAGCATGATACTTATGAAAAAAAATAAAGCTCATCTACTAAATCAATAATGCCTGTCATTTACCTTCATACATGTTTTTCTTTGCGTACATAGTTCGTAATAAAAATTATATTAACATAATAACATAAATGTCGTATATAATCATTAAACTTTTTATTAAAATCTATTTTATAGCTTACATGTACATGTATAGGCTAATATAAGTCAGCTGAACTTTAAATTAATTTTAGACTGCAGTTTTAATGAACGTGCAGTATTTGATATCGTAATAAACTCTATAGCTCGAGGAAATTTTCCTTACCTTAATCAGAACCTGTATCTAATAAAGCATAAGTTACCACTCTTCGTTTCAGTTCATTGAAAGGACTACGATCTAAGCACACATCTAGCACTGATGACGTAGTCATCACCGGGTTCCTTAATTTTTCCTTGTAAATCGCCTTGAGGATTCGAGGTTTGCCCCTAAAACACCTCTTTTACCACTCCCCTTCTTTCTTAATATTAATCTACTGCTTTCGGCAGAAAACGTCAATAACATATTTCATTGACAACTTAAACACTGCCGAGAGATCTGACGTATCACAGCTATTGCCATCCAGTGCTCATACGAAGAACTGCTTAAAATCCCTAGTTTTTATCCTTAAAGAGAGAGGTTTTCAGAAAAGCTTTTATAGTTTACCCCATAAGGAACCGATATTATTTCTTGCTTCCCAAAGGGATTATTTTACGAAACGAAAAAATATGAAAGCTTTTAGTCAAGCCATTTTGTTTACATGTTGATTGTGGAATAAAAGCCATTATACATGCATGTTTCTCTTTATTTGGCACATATTATTATTTAAGTGAAAGTATTTAAACATTATAATTTGTACGAGGATTGTTCAAAAAATAATGCAATAGGTCATATCATAGTTAGAAAAGTACATGATACATATTCTGAACATTTTCAATCCCTCAAAGCATTCACTGTTACCTTTTACACGTCCGTATTTTTACACCGGCAAGACCAGAAAACTAGTATACTCTAAAATATGTTGAGATAACGAATTGAACAATATTCGAGCTCAGAAATCAATAAACATCACAAAATAGGAGCGGAGCAAACACGGACCTCCAAAGCATTAGAGGTGTGATCAGGTGCCATGAATGAGTGAACATCCCCTGCTGACCAGTCACACCCACCGTGTGCTCCATGTCATGATCGTTGGAGAATAGTGAAAAAATGCGTGAACAATTCAATGTGTAAATAATGGCCTAACAATTAGTCTGAATAACGTCAGTGGGCATTTGAGTCAATGAAACATTGTATT